ATCTTTCTGGGAATCAATTGAGCAGCATTCCAGATAGCATCGGGCAACTTTCTAAGTTAGAGCTCATGGATCTTTCTGAGAATCAATTGAGTAGCATTCCAAGTAGCATCGGGCAACTTTCTAAGTTAGAGAGCATGAATCTTTCTGGGAATCAATTTGGAACAGGATTTCCTAAATGGCTTCAATTACCAAAGACAATAAAAATGATTGATTTCTCTAATGCTAGCATCTCAGGTCATCTTCCAGAAAACATAGGTCATATGATGCCAATGTTGGTGGGATTATATCTTGAAAATAACCTCATGAACGGTTCAGTTCCAAAGTCATTATGCAATTTAAAACATTTGGAAGCAATTGATTTCTCAAACAATATGTTATCTGGAAATATTCCAAAGTCGTTATGCAATTCAAAATCTTTGGAATATCTTGATCTCTCAAATAATATGTTATCTGGAAATATTCCAAAGTCGTTATGCAATTCAAAATCTTTGGAATGTCTTGATCTCTCAAATAATATGTTATTTGGAAGTATTCCTAATTGTTGGAGAAATGATCAATCATTCATTTTTATTGATCTATCTTCTAACAATCTCTCGGGTTTATTTCCGAGCACAATGGTGGAGCTTTCTTCTTTAATAGTACTGCACTTGAACAACAATAGTCTCCATAGGGAACTACATGTGGTGTTGAAAAAATTCACTTCTTTAATGGTTTTGGATTTGGGTGAAAATAAATTTTCTGGAAATTTGACAAGCATTGTAGGGGGGGAGATCCACAACCACTCTTTAAAGGTTCTCCGACTGCGAACAAATTTGGTTTCCGGTTATATTCCTTCGAAACTATGCTCTCTCTCTCAAATGCAAATTCTGGATCTTGCGGATAACAATTTGACAGGAAGGATTCCTTCTTGTTTTGGAAAGTTTCCGATCATGGTGAATGCAACACAATTGATCTATGACTTAAGTGATGACTCTTGGGATCAGGTACATTTGATGGAGGTTGTGAAAAAGAGATACCTTAAGTATTCTTGGGATCAGGCACCTTTGATGGAGGTTGTAAAAGGGAGATACCTTGAGTATAAAAGACAACCTTTGAGACTCGAGGTTAGTATAGATCTTTCAAGTAACAATCTAATAGGATCCATACCAGAGGAGCTAGTATTCCTGAAGGATTTGCACAATTTGAATCTGTCTTGGAATCATTTCTCAGGAAAGATCCCTGAGAAAATTGGACAAATGGAGAATTTGGAATCTCTTGATTTCTCCAAGAATAGCCTTTCAGGAAGGATCCCGAACAGCATGTCAAGTTTAACCAAGTTAAGCTATCTCAACTTGTCTTACAACAACTTGTCAGGGCCAATTCCAACAGGCTATCAACTCCAAACACTTGAAGATCCAACCATGTATGCTGGCAATCCTCAACTCTGTGGAGCTCCATTCTTGAACAAATGCTCAAATGATACACTACCTCCGACAACTACCAACTTTAAGGACAATGATGAAGGTGCACTTAAAAGAATGTGGTTTTATATTGTCGTGTTGTTAGGCTTTGCAACTGGATTTTGGGGAGTCGTGGGAACTTTGATTTTTGTAACAAATTGGAGATATGCTTATTTTCAATGGGTGGATGATGTGCAACACTGGATACTTGTGGTTATAACATTGAAGGTGGTACAATTCAAGAAGAAGTTCAATGGCAACCAAGAATATTAGTGAGTTATATATGGAGTATGTTTTTGCTACATTTATTATTAAGTTAGTTGGACAACCCTTTGTTGCAAGGTATAGTGTTAGGTCCAACTTTGAATGGCCCAACATTGAATTGGCCAATTTTAAATGAACACATAAGTATTAAAGTTTGTAAAGTCTT